TTTTAAGGTTCCCAAGTTGAAGGGGGGATTTGCAGCTGAGTCCATCAGCCCCAGATGCCCTCTTCTTTCCAGTCTCTGCCTTCAGGAGCATCTCTGTGCTTCTCGCTTCCACAAGAAAAGAGGCCCACGCTGCAGAGTCCAGGCCATATTGACAGCCAGCCTTTGTCCAGTAGAGAATCAGCAGCAGCTGTGCTTGGTGACTGCCAGTATAGTGAGAAATTACCCCCCTTAGAAATCATTTGTGCCTTGGATCGTTTGCTTTAAAATAATCTAATACAATAATCATGGATGACCTCTCCCTAAGACGGTAATATGATCAAAAAAGAAGTGATGAAGCTTGCGCTACACGTGCTCATTGAATGCCTCCTTGTCGCCCTACATCTTTCTCTATTTAACTAATTTTTCCAGGTCTTTAAAGAAAACTCTCTGAGTCTTGGAGCCTTTGCAGCCTAAGGCCAAGTCAGGTTGGTGGCTGCTGGGCATTTCTCATCTGCTAAAATGCGATTTTTTTTTTTCCGGTGATCTTTAGGGCCCCGGAGATTGGATACCCACTAAACATGGAGGGATTTTGAGAAGGGCAGCAGAGAACCCCCACTGCATTGGCCCTTGTTCCATTCACCTCCAGTCAGATCTTCTTCTGACACTGCCACTAAGTCAAGGGAGAGGTTCTTGGACCTTGAAGGCCATTTTAGTGGCCTATGAGCTCTGAAAGGTGTGGCCAAGCTGAGACAATTCATGTGGCCCAGATGCCCAGACTTCACACCCAAAGATTGTCGCAGGTGATGGGTCTTTTGGCCACAGCTACTCATCAGTCAATTGACTGATACATACTTACTAATAAAGACTGGCTCCTGATGGGTGGAGAGACCAGGATCTACACTGATAGAAATAGGAATCCCACCGCTATCCCCCAAAGGCAAGGACCCTGGACATGCGTGGGCCTTAAGAGTTGACTGGGAAGACTCAGCACCCCTAGCCCCCAGCCCCCATTTGCTGACTCGAGACCAGGCATGCAGGTAAAAGAGAAGGCCTTTCTCACACTTTATTTAGGCTGCTGCTGCTCCTTGTCCTGCCCAGGTGTTAGCTGATCACATTACCATTTATGTTCACCTGATTGTGCCATCTGCACCTGCTATGCAGAGTGAGGTGCTTCTGCCTTCCCCAGAATAGAACTCAGCCAGCCAGTGACCAAAGCCTTCCTGTGATAGCTTTAAGGCTTTCTGGAGCCTGAATATGTGTATGCATGGCAGTAAGAATCAAAGCATGTTGTCTGCCCCCGTCCTCCTTTCCCCTCCCCACCACCACTACCATTAGGAGATATTTGAACCCAACAGATGTGAGTAAGCAGAGCTCCTTTGACCTCTCATTCCCAGCTCGATGCAGGCCCAGCATCTTTCCAGGATGCTTTCTTCAGGGCCCACTTTTGTACATTGAATTTGGAGTTGAAAACGGGCTTCACTGCAGTGTCCTTTGCTGGACTCTTCAGTTCACAGTGTCCTTGGAACTTACACAGTTGCTCCCGAGCCTTTCTCTCTGCGTTCCCAGTGAAAAGGGGGGGGCGAACGAGCCGTGCCAGCCGCTTACCACAAAGCAGACCCGCCACAAAGGAAAGATTAAGGGTTTAGAGAGAGGTCAATGTGGGTTTTTTTCTAACTAAACACTTTCCTAAAGTTTCCTTGTGGAAAAATAATGAAGTCATCTCAGAGTTTTTAAAGAATTTTTATTTCTCTTTCACCGTCTGCATTCGCTTGTCTTCTCAGCATGGATGTTTAATCTTTTGGGGCTTTGTGAATTGGCCCAAATGAATAAGTGGGGAGCTGTCTCTCTAGGAGCGAGAGGCTTATTCTAAGGCCTTAATCACTGAGTAAACACATCTTTGCCCTCCCTCTCTTACAAGGGCTGGATAATAGTCGGGATTCTAGCACAGTAACCTGGATATTGCAGGGACCAGCGCTTTGAAATGCAGAGTGACTGATCCTCCAAAACAGACAGTGCCTGATCTTCGCCTGCCTCTTTCTTCTTTTTAAATTAAATATCACCAAAGAGATGCTGTTTTATTACTTGATATTGTGCATCCGTGGCCTGGATTTTCAAGTTTAGTTTCAGTCAACATTGTTGGCTGCACTTAGGTGGAACTTGGCTTGTTGGGCTTATTAACGGCCTTGCCGGGCACATGTGTGTTTTGTTTTGAAGAGCATTTAAATTAAATCAGCATGATATCAGTGTAAATCACTAATTTCTTTCCCAAAGTCTAATGTTCCTTTGGGGTGTTCTTTGAAGAAGTGGGCATTTTAAAGATTTAACTAACCATGGACCATGTTTGGCCAGAACGGTGCTGATTTTTCAATGGATAGCTGAGTGTTCCCAGTGATGCATTAGATAGAGTTGCTGAGATGCATTCATGCAGAATTACCAGACTGGTGGAGTGGAAACACTTCTGGACTGGGCTGGGAACCCAGAGCCTAAGTCCCCATGGCAGCCCCCTACTTATTCACTCTGCGACCTTGGCAAATTACCTAGCTCCCCTAAGTCTCAGTTTCCTTATGTGGTTTTACAACATAGACCTCTAAGGTCCCTCCCAGCTCTCACATTCCAGGTTTTACAATTACACGATGATTTCTTTTCTGTTGGACATCTGTGCATTTGGAGTCATCTTAACAAAAATACTGACAAATGTCATTTAAAAAATACCCTCCTAGTTTTGCATATCTCTCTCAGAAGAAGCAATGTTCTGAAAGTCATCTTCAGAAAATAATCTGAGCTTGCATTGCTATTTGTACCCTATTTTGCCCTCAGATCATTAAATCAGAGAGCTAAAAGAGCTAAAGAGACCTTAGAACTGGAATTGTTAGAGATGGAAGAAACCTGAAAACCCAGAACATCAGAACTTAAAATATAGAATGGCAAGACCTGGAAAGGACCTTAGAATTAAGAACATCAATGTCAGAGCTGGAAATCTTCTTAGAATGTAGAACAGAAAATATTAGAGCCAAAGATAACCTTAGAATATAGATATATAAAATATTATGGCTTGATGGGACCTTAGAACATTAGAAAATAGAGTGATAGAATGTTAGAGCAGAAATAGATCTTATGGAACAATGCCAGATAATGACACTGAGGCCCCAAGTAAGAGAGGAAGTGGCCATAGAGCTCCATAGTAGCTCTTTGCTTCTCAATGGGCATCTTGCCTCCATACCTCTCTGGTTATGAGTTGTCTTTATGAGGATCCCCATGCTGCCAGCCAATTGGAGCTACACTGGGGTGAGTTGGACATACCCAGCAGCCCCATAAACAGTTCTGGGACCTGGTCCCATCCTCAGTCCCACCCTGGGGCTCTGGGGAACAGCAGCAGTCACCATGATAGTTAGCTCATAATGTTGTGCCTTCTAGGAGTCAAAGTAAAAAAAAATTATAGGCTTAGAGCTGGAAAGAACTTTAGGAATGGTCTGGTACAGCCTTCTGTACCCATAAGAGAGATGAGATTCAGAGAGGGGAAGCTCAGAATTTGAACCGAGGGTTCCCATTTACAAGACTGTGACACTTTTCTAAACAACAGATAACCTCCACAGGAGTCACAGCTCTCCACTTTTTCCTGAGCCTGGCCTATTCCAGAGGGACAAGTGCATCAGAGAGAGCCCTAAACATGGAATTAGGAGACCAGACATTCACTGTGTGACCTTGAGCCTCGGTCTCCCTGGCTTCAGGAGAGGGCTCTGCCTAGGAGAGCAGCTGCTCATCTTGCCTTTTCCCTCATCCCTTACCATGGTGACTGGGGGCTGTTTCTTTTCCTACGGAATGCCAAAAAGAAGACCTAGAACTTGCTAGCTCCTTTCCTCCACTCCATCCTCATGGAGCAGTTTTAGACTAGCTGAGCTGTGTGTATCTCTGTTCCCTAAAGCAGAGACCATCCCTGTCCTCCCAAATCCCAGTCGCTCCTTCTCCAGTGGTGGCAAGGAGGCAGGGGAAGGGAGCAGGACAAAGAGGCTGGTTTTTCATCTAAATGCCTGGCTTCCCACCCTGCTTCTGGCACACCCGGCAGCCGGACTGTCAGCACAGTACTCCCCCTCTCTGAGATTTATTTTTCTAGTGTGTAGAATGGGATAATAATGCTCAGTAAACTGGAGAGACTTGTTGTTTTAACACGAAGTGAGCTGTCGCCAGGTCCCCTCAGTTTTTTTTTCACACGACCATTTGCAAATGCTTTCATATAGGATCCTTCGTCACATGCATAAAAGCATGTGACAAAAGCCAAGGTTTCTATTTCAGTTTCCCCCTTGAGCTTGTGGGGGTTTGTCATGCCAGCATCCCAGATTTGGGTGATACTGCAAAGAACTGCCCTTCAAACAAGTCCCATCGTTGGCATAAGAGAGGAGTATTTTTCATGTAAGGAAACCAATTGGGCATTTTCTTAAACATAATCTATGCAGGATTCAGTGTGGACTCCATGTTTTCTTATCATCTTTTCAGTCAGTACAGTGAATGCATGTAATTGGGGAGCTTTAAGGGATCTCAAATCACCTCTGGAAAGAAAACCAAAAGAAAATGTCATTTCAGAGCCTCTCCTCTGATCTTAGAAAGGGAATGTTGACTATTCAGATTAAAAATATATAAAAATTTTTAAAAGGATTTTTGCTTATCAGACCTCAGTGAGTTTTTCTTTTCTCTGAATAGCCGAACAATTCAAAATTAATGCGTCTGTACAAATTGAAAATGTGCATTCGATATGAAGACTGGCACATGCCTTTTATTCAAGAGAAAGTGACTGACCCCATTGCAGTTTGCACTTGAGATAGCCTAGCATGTATGAACAGAGATGCAGAAGGGGGCCGCCGTGCAGAAGGTAGGGGCACCAAAGGGAAGCGGGGTGCTGGGACAACGCCTAGAGGAAGGCAGGTGGGGAGCAGGTCGTTTTACCCCCACTCACCATTGTCAAACTAGAGAAGAGACCTGAAATGGGGGAGGCCTTCGAACTGACTGGCTTTGTCTCTTCTTTGCAGAGAAAGCTCCTGGCTATCTACCTCCACCATGATGAAAGTGTTTTAACCAACGTCTTCTGCTCACAAATGCTCTGTGCTGAATCCATCGTCTCTTATCTGAGTCAGAATTTCATAACCTGGGCATGGGATATGACAAAAGAAGCTAACAGAGCAAGGTAATTGATCCATTTCCCAAGGTAACCCCCTCCCCCACCCCCACCCCCACCCCCACCCCCAAAGGAGGCCATCATCTGGCAAAGAGCTTACAGGCTGAGTAAGGACAGAATTCTGGAAGCCGCCACCATTAGCCCATTGCCTTAGATGATAGCTAAGAGAACAACGCTTTAGTGTTAGAGGATGTTTGGCCATAGACAAGATTTATTCCCTTAAGTCTAAGAATCCCAAACATGCATGCACATACACAGACAGATACACATGCACCTACATGTTCTCTCTCTCCCTCCCCCCCTTTCTTTCTGTTTCTGTGTGTGTGTGTCTGTGTCTCTCTCCCCCTCTCTCTCTGTCTGTCTCTCACACACACCAACTTTTCTAGCCTCTCTTAAAAGCAGTAAAAATCATTGCTGTGATTTTTCTCAAGCCCCGCAAGTCTGTTTCAGTAATGATTTAAGGTTCAACCAACATTTAAGTGTCACCCATAGTGCTAATGATGAGTTTACTTTTAATAACTTCAGTGGAGAAGGAAGAGCGCTGCTGTGGCCCGGCCCAGGAGGGTTAGGAATGGCTTAACTCTACCATACACTAATTGATGTAATCGCCTTATTGCACACATTCTTTTGCACCCAGCCAGCAATGCATCCATATTCTCAATAGGGGGAAAAAAATCCCCTCCTTCGCTGCAGGGAGAAGTTTCCTTAGTTTGTTCATCACAATATTTCTGAGTGAGGAGTAATTCTGCAAGTCAAGCCTGTTTGAGTTTCTTAGCAGAGAGAGTCCGGAGTGTATAATTACTCATGTGGCTCCCGCACACCCTGTGATGCTACTTTGAGTGTGTTAACACACCCCGGATCACAAACTGCCAGCCTGTGAGCAAGAGGTGAAATGAATTCGTTTCAGGGCCTGGCTACTCTGGTCTCCTCGTTTAAGCAACAGTCAGAACAGTCAGAAATCATCCAGTTTGTCCCTGTGGCCTGCTCAGACTCCCTGAATTGGTTGGCTTGGGGCATATGCGCAGAAATGATTCTTGCTCTCGATGCTGCGGGGGTGCAGGAACCGTGGTTCCTTCTTCCTGCGTGCATTCATCCTTTCACTAGGCAGCCAGGAGCGGGAGCTGGCTCCCTTCACCCTGCTTTGGAAATGCTCCCTGGGCTCCACAGAGCAAGGCCCTTCAGCACCTGTATTTGTTTAAATGAAATCGGGTGATTATTCACACTCAGTTAAAGGTGATGAAAAGCAGTGCCCAAAACAGATAAAAAAAAAAATGCGGCATCCGAGGCCTTTCATGAGGCCAGTCGGAGCCTGGAGCCTGAAGCCTGGGCTAACCCTTTGGGTACCGCCATTCAGTGGCAGCGAGGAAGCCCCTCCTTTCTTGTTATCCCCCAGCTCGATGGAGAAGGAAACACTATTTCTAAACCATCTGTAGTGGCGAAGTTCAGCTGGCTACCTGCTGTTATTTTGTTCCCGTCCCCATTTAATTCCCTCGCCCCTTTTATTTTACAATGACAAAAAATTGCAGTGTCGATTCTTTTGAAAAACAGTGTTGGAGGGTTTTTTTTCTGACTGACAATCAACAGCCATGTAATTGCTTTGTTATGTTTCCCTCAAGAAGTCTGTGAAGTGGTACAACTTTGATACACTAGTAATCGGAGTGTGCAGGTTACACAGATACCTGCGGTGACCAAAGCGACAGAAGCTGCTGATTAGACAGAGCCCGTCCAGCTGGGTCCTGTTAACTCCTTGTGACACTTTTTAAAACACCAAATAAAGGCCTGTTTAAGGCTTTATAGCGATTTCTCAATGAGGCCCAGGACTGATTGTGAAATTCACTGGGGGTGGGGGATAACGGAACGAGTAAGAGTAGGAACTCTGGGACATTTGAAAAGAAAAACCCATTTAGGAAGAAAGCAGAAGCAGAGGTGAGGTGGGGGAGAGCTGCCCCCACCCCCAGCCCTGCCCTTGGGATTTTTTAAGCCTTTGATTGCCACGTTTGCGATCTAACTGTCTTTGGGTACAAAGTCAGCACTATTTTTAGATAGAGAATTAGATAGAAGATTCTCTGGAAAATGATGCAGAAATCATACGTTCTCCTTGCCGTCTTCCCCACCCCCACACCTACTCCTCTGTAAAAGTTCACCATATGCAGCTAAGTCCCAACAAGAGGACGAGGCTTTTTCTGTGCAGAACACAAAGCGATTTGGTGGAAATGCTCCCTCCTGTATGGCAGTCAGCGTGGATCTGCCCCAGTTGTCTAAGAAGCTAAGAGACCAATGAATTTAAATAATTTATTGCAAACGAAGGGCTCCACTTCCCTGGCGTTTTCTCAGCACCTGGGTCAGAGGTGATTCTTCCAAGTTGAGGTGTCTAATTACGTCTGTCATGCCTGGGCTTCTTCATACAGCAAGCTGCCCAAAGCCACCGATGGCCCTGGAAACAGACTACATCAGCCTTCCTGCTACTTGTAGCTCTCAGGAGCAAATCCTGACCTCATTCTCAAGCTGAGGGAGAAACTCTCAGCTCTTAGACCTGTGTTCTCATCTCGGCTCAACCACAGTCTCCCTCTGGCCTTTGGCAGCCCTCCTTGAACTTCCCTTCTCTCATCTCTCAAGTGAGGATTGGAAGCGCTGGTATCACACGGGCTCAAGTGTATAACCAAACTCCTCATTTTCCAGGGGAGGAAACAAAATTCAAGAGGTTAAGTAATTTGCCCACATCACAAAATGGAAGGGAGAGGATTTGAATCCAGGTCTTCTGGTGCCAAATCCACTGTTCTTTCCAGTGAGGAAGGCTTGAGTGTGTGACCTGCATACCTCACAGGCCTGTTGTGAGAAACTTGCAACATAATGGGGGGGGGAAGGCTTTGGAAGCAAACAATCACCCTACATGTTTATGGTGGTTTTTGTTTTTTTGTTATTGTTTTTCTTTTTACATCAAATAGTGCCAATCTCATCAATCCTGGATTTCAGGAGAGTTCTAACAAGACACAGTCACATGACGAAAGACATTCTCAGTCATTGCCAGGATCCTGCTAGACTTTCCGCTGTCAACAGTGTTCTCATTCTGGACAATGGGAAGTAATGGAAATAAATTGTTGGTGAGCTGCAGTAGACTCAAGTGTCATCCTGGAAAGGAATTTAGAACCCAGAAGGTGGAATGTCTGAACTAGGGGAGAACCTTAGAACATAGGATAGAGAACTTCAGAGTGGCGCAGGGCTTAGCAACTCCTCTCCCTCTCTTTTTAAAAAAAGGGAAGCTGAGGCACAGACATGTCCAAATTCCAATAATTTACTTTTGCTCAAGAAATATTCTGATTACACTTCTAACCAGGAGCATACCAAAAAGCATTGGGTTTGCCTCTGACCCACACACATGTAGAAGTGATGGGAAAGCATGTGACTTTTAGAATATCCAATAAAGGAACTGTATTTAATTAAAGTACATGAATCCAAATCATCCGTCTACCAAAAACCAGACCAATGACCAAAGCCTCTGATTTCTGTGTGCTGCCACTTGTATGCCCAGCTTTGTGGATGGATTGTCTTCTCCCTTTGGGATGTCAGCTATTCTCCCCTGAGATCTTGGGCTGAGTTCAGATTGAGGTGCCCTGCTTTCCCAGCCCTCCCTCTGACCTCTGTTGATGATTGTGTAAAGTAGGGGAGAGCTGTGGCCATCGTGGAGTCTGAGTAGCCTGGATTTACAGAACTGGGCCTCCCTCTAGGCATGTGGGACTCAGGATAACTCTGCATGTGTTCCATCGCCCCGATGGCTGCCTACAGGTCTGGGCAGAACGAGGGCCTGGGACCCTGCCCCCAGCCAGGAGTCAGGCCCAGGGCAGCCACCTCTAGGGGATCTCAGGCACTTCACTGGTAGAGCCTTGGTTTCCCCTTTTGCAAAACTGGACTACCGCTATGATCTTCACTAACTCTCAGGCCTCTTGTGAGGACAGCATTTTATCAGATATAAGGGGCTCTTAGGGAAATGGTCACCACCCAGGCAAAGTCCCACCCCCCTCCCCTTCAGGAGACCCAGCAGAGCCACCCAGATGGGCGCTCGAGCATTCAGACAGATCAATGGGTAGGACATGAAGAAGAAATAATCTTAATGGACAATGATAAAAACTACAGCTCTGGGAGATATATTACGCAAGTATGATTGTGCCATTTTACAGAGGAGGAAGCTGACACCCAGAGGAAGCATTGAACCAAGCTCTTGAGCCCACTCCAGGACCAGTGCTCCTTCCCCTCCTCTTGAATCCTCCTCATTAGAGCTGTTGTTTCACTTTTCTGAGTATTCCCAGGCTGTCCCAAATGCATGAGGTCAAACAATATGCTGGTTTGAACCTACAGCTTTTAAAACTCGTACTGCGAATGTTTGCTGTAAAGTCAATGTTGGGGAGGCTGACAAAGGCAGAGAATCACAAGGAGCAGAGCAGCGGCCAGGACAGCTTGGGGGTACCATTCCCCAGCACACCCTGTGACAGACTCAGGAGGTGCCAGGACTCAGGGCAGAGAGCCTGCCTCAGGGAAATGAGGGGCCTGTTTGGATCCCTGCAGTGTTCAGAGGACTCTAGGCAGACCCCCTGCTCACTGCATTAAACTCTTTATTACTGGCAGGAATCCTTAGAGCCATGAATTCTGAGGCCCATTGGAATGGTGGAGTCACGGCCATTCCTATAGGAGTTCAATTAACGTATCAAAGCTAATCAAATTGCTCACAATGACCTTGAGAGGTCCTAGTGCAAATAGTATTACACCTGTCAGATGCATTTAACCTCTCTTGTTGAGCCTCAGTTTCTTCATCTGTAAAATGGGGTTAATAATAGTGGCCTACCTCAGGGAGTTATTGTGAGGATCAAATGAAATAGTATAGGTCAAGTGCTTTATAAACTTGAAAGCCACAACAAAACCCCAAATCGGAGGCTTTGAGACAGTAAGGTACAGTGGAGAAAGCTCTGGATTTTAAAGTCAGAAGACCAGTTGCAAAACTAACCCCTGCTGCCCTC